TACGGGTCCTGGCTACCAACTGCGATCTAGCCCAGGAATCATTTGGTAATCCTATATGATGTCAGCTAACCATCAGGGTGTATTATCAAATACTGAGGTCTTGACTCACGCATTCACTCTCGGCTGGTCCTCTTGTAATTTCTGATATAAGTGTTACATTGACTGTAGATTCTTGAACAACCCAGTGGGCCCCGCGGTGAAACCAGATTAGATTAATCAGATTTTTAGTCGACCTTCTGCGTATGTAAAGTATACTCCGGAATTCAAGAATAGTTTGGGAAAGCAACAAACGAATTTTAGCGTGAACATAATAATTAACCGGAAGCACGCTCAACCCTACTTTGTACACCAAAGCATGTCACGCTTCCACCGCTGAATTTCCTCAAAGTAGCTACAACGGCCTCAGTAGTTTGCTCATCAACGGCACAGTGATGACCTGCGAAGGGATTTGTATGTGAGGAGACAAACTGTCAAAACATCTACCTCCATCACTCTTCCCGCATCTATCATGCTCCCAGCACCATAAAGACAAATGCAGATGGGGTTGGTCTGGTGGCCGGCAAATTTAAACGGCCCATCGGCACGCGCCATACATGACCTGATCCTTAACTTCGCATCTACCGGACGGAGAATTTCGGATCTCACATAGGTGAGAGTGCCATAGAGGTCATACCAAGCAGGGGTCGTTGCAGCCTGACGCTCAACTCCAAACAGGATCGATTTCTGACGGGTCTTCAAAGCCAATGACTACCCGCGCAACTTCTTCAACCGGTGCATACGTAAAAGGGTTGAAAGGCCTAGCCGCACGGACACCAAATTTTGGCGAGCGCTTCCGTATGTCAAGAACGTTTCGGAAACTGTCGGTCGCCTTCTCGCACCACTTGGGGTTGGAATTGCACACAGACCGGAGGCAACCATCAGACGTCAGGTAATGAAATCGAAAGACCCGCTTCCACGGCTAGAGACGTCTGGAGTCGTTTATCGGATCTGTTGCAGTTGAGGGCAAAGCAACTACTTCGGAGAAATCGGAAGACAGCTCCGAACAAGAATGGCCGAACACGCTGCAGCGGTGCGGAGAAATGACACCAACTCTCATGTTGCGGTTAATTCGACGAGATCCGGCCACACATTCAAATTCGACGAGGCCGAAATTCTCGCTAGAGGTGACAACCGCGTGAGCCGGGAGCTGCTTGAGTCATGGTTCACCGGCCCCCAGTCCATTAACAAGTGCAATGACCTTCCTCTTCCATACTCCGTGCTGAGACTTCGCCTAGGCGGAGTAATTGGCCACGTGGGAAGCGCGCAGGTGAACACTATTTCCAACACCATGGTCGGTGCGTCAGATGGTCGAGCAATCATTACACTAGCATTCAACACATGCGATGAAATTGCGGAAATTAACGACGCGAATGTCGGCCATCAAGCAATCATCACACCAAGTGCAACGATCCCTGATGAAGGGGGAAGTAGGGAACATTCAAAAGTATGTGGTAGCATGACGAGTCCACCCTATAAATACTGCAGTCCCTTGTGCATGAACCACCCGTATCTGCTTTTGTCTCTGATGATGGGTTCGAGCAGGAATCCGAAACGTTAGGCGGACAAAACTATTATCCCAGCGATCATGTCCCCTCCTTCACGACTGTTTCTTGGGAGTCGTCTCTTCACTTCTATAGGATTGAGTTTTTGCTGAAGTTTAGAAATGACTTCAATCACATCAGATTTATAACCACGCAGAGTGCACTGAATTGTTACGTGAATGGACGCCTTGATGTTGACCGCAGTCTTTCCTTCCGTCCCGTCTCCCGCCACCTGTTCCAGTGGCCTGTCCGGGACTGTCAACCGACTGGACGTGAGATGGAGAGCAATGACTGACGCGGCGTGAACCCTAGTTTGGCGCGTGTGCACCCATAGAGGAGGACTGTGGGGCAGACTCAGCGCAGGGCGAGTAGGGTCATGCTGTGAGCTTGTCCGGTCGCTGTTTTGGTCCAACGCAGTGGTGGTACAATCAAACACTGCGATTTCCCAAGAAGAAGTAACTGTCACTCAATGGGGAGGCCTGTCAAGTGTACTCGCTGTGATTATACACGCAAATATTTGTCGCTTTCGAATATTTTTGGCTTTGAAAGAGTGGTCCACAGTTGGGGTACTGACGGTGGGTTCGACTCTG